TGACTTTATGCAGTGTCCAACATTTGCTGTTGTGTGTTCTTCTCTTTCTTTCCACTTTTCCTCTCTGTTTTTAAAGTTTAATACTTTTTTTCTCTTACTCTAGAAAGCACAGAAGAGTTAAGAAGTGAAAGCAATCAATCCAAAAAAAGTGTTTTTCAAAAATGCCATGTTTGCCACAAATGCAAATTTTAGGATGCACGAGTTAGGACAATAGGACTCCAACTGGCTGCTCACAAGAGGAAGGATTAGGTCCTCTGTCATGTTAATAGTGACATCAACAACCTGAATAAAAGCCAAAAATTCAAGTTGATTCTGCAGTTTAAGACTATTGTTCTCCCATATGGTTGAGCCTGTAAGATTTAGTCTACACATAGAGTTGTGCCAGGATTTATAGCATTTTTCACATCATACAGTGCAATTCTTGATATGTTAATGTACTTTCACATATAAAAGCCCTTTGTAATTGACAAAGATTTATACTGATATAGCTAAAACGCCCTACAGTCTAAAGGCATGACATGTATTGGAAATACATATGCAAAATTACATCTGACAGTATCGTTCTGCTCTTCTTATTTTGGAGCCCATTGTAAAAACAAATCAGGTGAAACCTGCTAATAATATGCAACAACCTCCACCTCAGATATTAAAGGAGCGGTAGCCCTGGACTTTGACTCTGGATAAGCAAAGCTGAGGCAAGAATATGGGATATTCCAGTGGTCTTGTTCCTGGCCTGACCTTTCTGGATCCTGATGACACTCTCAGGCCTTTCTTTGTTCCACACTCTAAGCCTGGTTCCTATTTTGTAGAGCAGCAGTAATATCGTACATTCGTTGATTGGTAACAGGAGCTCTCCCAAGTGTCCAAGGCAGAGAAACTTAATTCTTGACACAAATCCACGAAACTAACCTTTCTCTCTCTCTTTTCCTTTTTTTTTTTTTTTTAAACCTGGCAAATTATGGTATTAGGACCACAGTCACATACAAAACATGACATGTTAAGTGACTGGGGAATCGTAAATTGGGCGTTTTGACTTGAACAAATACTAAGCATTGTCATACCAAACGGATTATTATTTTAAAATACTGTCCCAGGCTATAACTGGCTTTGTGTACAATAGCAATACAGGGTGTAGTTACAGACACAATTTCCTGTGCTTAGGTTTTGAAATTATTATTTAAGATCCCCGTAACATTTGCCCGGTACACCAGTGCAATTCCCCTATTAGATAATTTTCTATCCTTGTGAGGGCAATTCTGCTTGCGCAATGCTGCCAGAGCTTTCAGGAAGGGAGAGACAAGCAATTCTGGCCATAAAATTTGCATCAGCTCCCACCCAACCTCTCCCAGAACCAAAATACCATTTGTCGCATTCAAAGCCTTTTCACACCAGAAGGGAAGGTGTTTCTGAACTGGAAAGTCATTGTGATCTCCACAGGGCTGCATCCTCCAGGCTGACTTTTGCCTCTCGGGTTCCCATGAGAAATGCCAAACAGCAATTGCGGAGCTCCAAATGGCTTTGTAGCAAAGACTCGGTGGATTGCAGCACCCAGCATCCAGGCATGAAACCCCAAATCAATCCAGATTAGGTCATGGGAGTCAAAAGCTGAAGCAGAAATTTTGCTGCTTGTAGCTGACCGGCTTGAGAGGGTTGACCCTTGTAAAAGCATTGTAAATGTGCCCTTGTGAAAAACACTTCAGGTCTAACAATATCACCAGTTTCTGGAAAAATGAAGATGATAAGCCTGCCACATTGTACTCGTGTAGCACCTCTCCCAGAATGATTGTTTTTTAAGGGCTAAAAAGAATGTATTGTTCCTGTGTTGGAACCAGGAGAAGGGGTGCAGGGAGAGAGAGGACAGTAATGAAAATGTCTGTAATATGTAGATTTGCAGGGAGAAAAAACAGACTGTGAAACTTGTGTCGGATGTCATCATTGGTCATTCAGAAAAGATGCTACTACTACCGCAGATTGTCCCAAAATCAATGCACACAAATCATGGTGGAGTGCCAGAATCTGTGCAGTTTCTAAGGCCATCTGGCAATTTAGTGATGAAATATGTGAAAACATCTTCAACAGCACGAGGTCTCTGACTAAACTGTTCACAACCTCTGCCTTGCTCCTGCAGGACACCAGGACCAGGTGCTGGGATTCTTCCCCATAAAGTTACTGTTTTTCTTCTCTGAATAAAGGACAAACAAGAGTGAATTCCTGTGCAGACTTTCACTCCCTGCTTGATATGAAGATGCTTGTGCATGTAGCTTGTCTCACTAGGATACAGCTGATGCTACTGAGCTCAGCAGTGTGTGCTATGGCAGCCCCATATGACCTAGGGGCCTCTTAACCTGTCAGTTAGCTGGGCTTACGGGACACCATGTTGTACCTGAAGCTTTGCTATGCTAGAGGATCATGCCTAGGGCCATTCCAGTGCTGTCTGTCACTGCTTACATGCTGCTTAATGCCTAGATGTCCCACAATTAGCAAGGCAGAGGGTGGTGCAGGCACTCTGCTGTGTCCTTGTATATGCAGTGCAAATATAAAAGAGAGCAGAAATAAGGGAAAGGAAATCTCCTCTAGTAGCAGCAAAGAAACTCTTACTCTTATTTCCCTTCCTAAAAAAATCTGCTCCCAAAAACCCATTGCCTCCGTTCCACTGAGTTCTTTTGACTTGGAGCAGAGCCTCACCTTGCACTTCTACTTTCCACACGCCACACGCAAGCTCGCCTGTATGACAGCAACGGCGAAGGGAGGACCCATGTATGGGAAAGACTTCTGAAGAGGGCAACAGGCTGCTTCTGCTCTGGGCTCAGCCTGGGAACCATGGGGCTCAGCTGCTACACGTGTGTAGTGGAAATCACTGCATCTCTACCGCCCCTGCAATTCTCTCCTCAGCAGCCTTCAAAATTCCACTGAGGAAAAAGAAATAGGGAGAGGGAAGAAGGAGTCAGAAAAACTGTTGTGTTCCCAGGGGAAAAAAAAAAATCAACAGCCCTATTTAGCTTATCCAGCTTTGCTAATGTCAATCACTTTTCTCATTTTAAACAGGAAAGACACCACTTTAGTCCACCTGTTCCATTATTTATCATGCTCCGCATTTCCCATGAATTGTCACTCATGCAAAACCTGTACATCGTAAGGGGACACCCTAATATTTTTAATGACCTTAAGCAAAGTGATTGACATTAGACACCGGTGTCAGATGTTCTGGTGACGCAACATGTTCTCCTAGCAGCAGGAAAGCTTCCTGCCGTGATTAAGTTAGGGCTATGGAAGTGCTAAAATGTGTTGTCAGCTTTCCTCTGATGCAAGTGATTTTATTATAGCGTTTGGTAACCACGGAGTGTGGCAACGCAAATACTGACTCCAAACATCCCCTCCCGTACATATAGCTTGCTCTATTTAAAACACAAAGTGCACTTTGCAAATCCAGGGATAAGTTATGGATGTAACAAGCTTAAACCAAGGAGGGCAGAGGAAAAGGCAGCACCTAAGCCAGAACGCGTGGGTGATTTCAGCAAGAGAAGCGTACGGCTCCGGGATGACCTGCAGAAGGCTATCCCCTGCGGCACCTGTTTGGCAGGTGTGCTCTGCAGCGGCATCGCCACAGCCGTCGTGGATGCCAGAGGCTCAGGAGGGCAAAGAGGAGGCACGCAAGCACTGGCCTCGCTCGCTGTAGCAGTGGAAAGCAAAAATCACATCCAGCCCTCCTGAGCCTGGAGAAAGTAAGGAGGGGAGGGAAGAAAGAGAGGGAAAAAAAGAGAGAGGACTCCATGCAGCCCCTCTGCCTTCTGACACCCTCATACACACTGGGGTGGAAGTCTGCGACTTGGCTCAGCGCTACTTGTCCTTCATGATATAGATGAAGAAATGTTCTGGTTTGCTTCAATTTGGGACCAGCCCCTCAATTATTCATTACCTGAGAAAAGTTGGAAGACCTCTGGAACACAGGAGTTACAGAATCAAACATCTCAGACACACACAGAGGGCACCTGAGACCTGCTTTTTGTAAAGATTCGTAATCCCAAAGCTCATTCAGCAAACACTTACTACACAGACGACTTTGCTTCCACAAGTCATTATTAATTGTTTTGTCTAAAACTGATTATGCCAGTAAGTGTCTGCAGAACTGACCGTTATGATTTTTCAATAACCAAGTTGTTCATCAAGCTGCAAGAGGAAGTCAAAGTTGAAGATACAAGCTATCTTGATAGCAATAAAAAAAGATTTTCTAAAGTTCTAGCAGCACTGAATATTATTTTAATGAAATTTACTTTTTAATTTTATAGCAAAATAATCAAAAGTGCTAAATCTGACCGCTTCAATTTACAAAAAAATTCTCATGTTTTAAGCTATAATTATACCTCGTTATTTAGGTTAGACAGTATAATTACACATTTCTACCTATTTCTATTCAATAGTAAAACAAAATTAATATTAGTTGGTTTAAAAAAGGGGGAAAGTACCACAGATATTGGGGGGGCGGGGCGTTACATAAAATATAAGAATCAGCTTATTGAGCAATCCGCAGTTTGTTTGTTATTGCTTTTTTGGGGTTTTTGAGCTACAATTTTACGTCACAGACAATCTGGTCGTAAGCTTGTAGTCACTTCAAATGCTATGACTTCTCCCTCGGTCAAATGTCACAGTGTGTATTTTAAGGAGATCTCTAGCATTTCAAGTCAGTTCGAATTATTTTCTTAGTTCTCACAATTTCCCTTTCCAACATGATCAGCATGTTGGAGAACGCGGTTATGATGATTGCAGTTATGACGACACTGTTTTCTGTGAAGGAAAAGTGTCTTTTCTTCCATCTTGGAAGTCTGCAGTAAGAAAAACATTAAAAGCACTTGCAGAGTTTTTAAGAGTCTTTCTTAATCCATTCTATTTTCATTTCAGCTCATTTCCAAAGTTAAATTAAAACCTGCAGTCTCTCCTATTTATAAATAGTCAAGTTGACTTACAAAGGTTCTGACTTCTGTCCAGCCTTCTCTTGGTTGTCTTTAACCAAACAAGGTTCGCTGATTTGCCACAAGCGCTGTCTGGCTCTCCCGCCTCTTTGCTTTCTTGTTTTGCTGCCTGATTTTCCAGCACACTGCACTAGAAGCCAGCAAAAGGAGTCCTGATGACAAGAGGACTAATCCAAACACTGAGATGATTGATCCGTGGGAATTGAAGCTGTATGCCACAGCAGTAACCACAATGCCGGCTATGAGGATAACCACACCGAAGGGAATGGTGCAGCGGTAACAGGAGAGTTCTGCTCCCCCTGTTGCTGCAGTCAGCTGGCACTCACTGACAAGAGGGATGGTGGTTATCACACAGTCATTGTTGTTACTCTTCTCCGTGCTTACAGAATCAGGATGCTTTGGAGCACCCAGGATCTCTTTAATAGGTTCGTTTGTCATCTTGATTGTCTTGATTTAGTCAATTCTTAGGCTAGAGCAGGCTCTGCTGAACACGCACTGCACTGTGGAGAGAAAAGCATGAGTTCAACTAAGAAGCGTTACCATTATGCGACAAATGGGCGACACAGAAGTATCCCACTTGGGATCGCAAACAAGCAGACACTCTGACCACGCAAGGATTTATGCACAAGCGTAATTGGACCACTACTGATTGAGGTGGATCTGAATCAATTGTTAACGGTAGTCATCAGCATGTGCATAAGTGCTAGAAAGAACGGAGTCACAGACCAAGACAGACACCAACCTTAAGGTGTTGTGGGCCAAATCCCGCTTTAAGTTACCGCCTAAAGTCAGTATTTCTGGATGCAATTTAGATTTCAATGGCATTACATCTTCTGACAAGGAGGTGAAGTTCATAGGCTGTTGTGGTTAAAAATTCTACTCTTGCGCACACACTTTTCCACACTGTTTCTTTATATATACACCTATACACACCCATTACCCAGATTTGCTCCAATGCACATCACAATAATATGGGCAAGAACTGGCCCAGCAAAAAACAGGACTGAAGAGTGAACCCTTTCTCAAGGCAAGTGCTACTTAGCAAAAAATTTCAAACGGTCGTGACTAGGTATGGATCGGGGGGAATGGGGATGAAGACAGGTCCCTGCACTCAGCAAACGCCAGCTGAAAGCTGGTGATCCTACTGTTACAGCAACATCAATGCCAGACAGTCAGCTTGCCATTTAAATTGGCTTCATGCAAAAGTAATGGGTCCCTTATAAGTCCATGAAACCACATCCATGTTACTGTGTGGGAGGGAGATTTAGAGTCATATTCACTCATCTTAGTTACAGTAAGTTGCTCTCCTCCTGTCTCCATATCATATACACACGCTCAGTCCTACAGACAGCACGCACAGTTTGATTGCATCTGCATTATGAGGCAGATTAGCTTTTGGCTCCGTGGAGCCCAGTGCAGAACTGGAGTCCAGCTGATGAGGGCCAGACGAGCCCGTGGCTCTCCACTGCGACAGGCTGCCAGGACAGACCCCTGCCATCTCACTGGGACTCTGCTGGTGTGGGGGCTGCCCTGGAGTCTGCAGGGAGCCTCTGACAAGGCTGAGGCTACCACGGCTGTGCTGCCTTGGACCGGGCTGTGCGCTCAGTGCTCCCTGCCACATACAAGAGAGACTGAGACACTGGGGAACCACTGGGTTTTCCTGCTGGGAGTAGCTCACAGGACTCCTCCACCACTCTCCGGTACGGGCTGTGTAGCTTTTGCTCCTATGAGCAGCATGGTATGCAGCTGAGAGAACAAGGAAGAGTGCTTTTATCACTTTTATCACCTTCACATCTGTGACTAGGAAGTTAATTGCCAGATACTTGTATTCTCCTTTTCCTTTCCCACCACTCCCACCCTTGTTGCTAAGATATATTCATCCATTGTGGAGAGCCCTTGGTTTTGTATCTCAGTACCTCATGTAACGGATTGTGTATTTTGCGAGAAAGAGGATTTCACTATTTTTAAACACACACACACACACAGAGGCTATACTCTGTATCTAGTCAGACAGTTTGCGTCTGAGTTTCCTTGAACCCTAACGAGAGAAGGAAAGTTCAGATCTGGTTTGACAAAGCTTTTGTTCTACTGATATGTGGAAAAGTGCTCAGCTCAATATTGTATCTTGCTGTACACAGCTATCTTCAGGGCTCAATCCTGCAAGGGGCTCAGCAGCTACAAGACAGAGTAGCTTTTCCCTCCCTAATGACAATACTGAGCACAACACAACCGCACGGACACTGAGCACAGACACTGACAACACAAGAGGCAATGGGCACAAACTGAAACGCAGGAGGTTCTGCCTGAACATCAGGAAACACTTTTTTACCGTGAGGGTGACTGAGCACTGGAACAGGTTGCCCAGGGAGGATTTGGAGTCTCCATCCTTGGAGATACTGAAAAGCCATCTGGACAGTCGTGGGCAGCCTTCCTTAGGTGACCCTGCTTGAGCGGGACAGGGGGTGGACCAGATGACCTCCAGAGGTCCCTCCAACCACAACCATTCTGTGATTCTGTGGGTTTCTGTGAAGGTACTTGGTATCTCCACGGGCAGGCAGGGGATCTGATCAGTGCTTATCAAAGCCAATATATCTGTGCTGACACCTGGGATATCCTAGGTTCTCCTAGGTTCTGTTGCTTTGTCCTTTGAATTCTAATGCATGATTAAGTACTTTTATATCAGTTGAAGGAGCCCAGGAAAGCCACGGGGTTGCTCTAGAGCACCGTCTCTGTCCCCGCATGGATCTGAGCCCAAGGTCTGCATTTTCAATAATGACTTATGTGGCAGTGAGGCTCATACTGGTGCCATTATGTTGCTGCATTACTTCTCCATAAAACGTTGCAGAAGTTCAGCACAACGGGAGAATGTGGTCCCCAAAGGTCACCTTTTTTGATCTTACCATTAGCTAAATTCAATTTGTTCAATATTTTATTATTAAATTTGGGGGAGGAAAAAATTAACCATTTTCCATATAAAAGGTCTCTTAGTTCCAAATACATTGTAATAACTATTCAAAAGTGCAAATACTCTCTCTAACAGTCACAGAAATAGGGAAACTTCCCAATACCTTGAAAAGGCTTTGGATTGGGCTCACAATAAACACGATTATTCTGAAAAACTTTACCATTCAATCAAAGTATATTTACTCCTGTCTCTAGAGTCCTTGTCCCTCTGCTTCAGATACATCCCCAATGAGCATTAAATCTCTTAGACGTTTTGTAGAGAGATTTATGAAGAAAGAAGATGTATTTGCACAGTCAAAACTAACATGACTTTTTAAAAAAAATCTCCTAAACTACCAAAATTAAGTCAAAGGCAAAATACCTGTTGACTTCTGAGGAGCACTGTAATAGGACGTAAGCAGACAGGCATTCATATAAAACAAATAAACAAACCTCTACTGAAATACCGTAAGTTAAATAAACAACAGACCTATTTGAAGTGTGAGTAAAGGTATTCAGCCCTAGAAAACAGGGCACTAGATCCTCATTGCCAGCAAAGTCACTTCTGACTTATGCCAACAGGTGACTTGGTTCAAGTTTCAGGGTAAGAAATTTAGGCAAAGATACCCTGCAACACCAGCATCCTCTCACTAATCGTACTAGAAGTACTTCCTTAAGGAGCTGCTTTGACTTGGAGGAAGAATGTGTTTCTGTGGCAATCTGTGGCTAACACCGGATAAAGGGGAGAGGAATGTTTACCCGCTAATAAGTGCGAGTTGAGATTTACTGAAAAGACATGAAACCCACCAGCATGCACACCTACCGGGTCCATGAGAAGTCCATCGTAACAAATCCCTTGGCTCAGTAAGCAGAGGAAGACTGCTTAAGATGTCTCGTATGTCAGTTCAAGGCAGAGTCATGCAGTAGTAAGAGCTGCTCCAGGCTTTGAAGTGTCAGATGTTGCTGAATGATGAATTGGAGGCGACAATATTCTAGCATGGAAGTTTCCTACAAGAAAAGTTGTTGGATATTTATCAGCTTCTTCAGAACGAAACTCCTGCATGGAAAAGCTCCCGCTGTATGCTGACCCCTGCTCCTAACCTAACTGAAGCAGGAGATGTTCTCCCTCTGGCTGTCCTAGTGGTTTCTGCTTATTTTCTTGGCAGCAGCCACCCATTTCTGGCCCTATGTAACATTTTCCTTTGATGATGTGACGTCTCAATGATGAGTGTCACAATCCAGGCAAGCCCCCAGAAAGAGCTAGGCAGGAAAAGGTAATGCACATGAATTTCTGTAGTTAAAAATCTCATTTAACTTCGTTTCTATTGCTCAATCCACCTATGTGAATCAAAGAACCAAATCACGACTCAGAATACTTGGCTTTTTGTCTCTTCTATGTCTCCAGTTTCTTTGAGCAAATAACTTCAACTCCCTGTGCCTTGGTTTTCCTAGCTGTAAACTGACAGGAACAACATGCTTTCCACTAAAAAACCCTTTTAAATCTATTCTGCTATAACAAAAACCTAAGTAATATAATCCCAAAAACTCCTCTCAAAAAAAAAAAAGGCAAGTTAACTGAGTCCAAGAACACACTGTAAGGAACATGATTCCATTATATTTACTATTCTTCATTTCTGTTATCTAATTTTTTAAAACAAGATTCATAACTCAAATAGGGACAAGGCAGAATCTGCAGCAGGGCAATGTGACAACTCCGCAGAAAGCAGAGTGATGGAAATCGTTATCGACTGCAGAAACAGCTGTGAAATCACCAAGCAGCTGGGTAAAACTTATGAAGCAGCAGATTTATGTTGCTAATCTTATTCAACACTCCCTTTCTATATGTGCATGGTTATGGAAGATTATTTTGACACTGAAGCAGGAGCTCGTAACCGGGGATGAGAGTAAATTCATGAGAATAAGTTTGCATAATGATAATCTTCAAGGGCTTTTTCTCTTTTAAAGTTATTTAGACCATGCTAACATTTCACAACCACAAACATTTACAGGCACAAACTCCTGCTGTTCTTCTCCAGACGATCCTTGGAATAAGCCTGTGACACAGCTAAAGTACATTGAGCCAATTATTGAAGTTAGCTAATTATATGGAAGTCTCCTTGCTCGTCTCCCTGTCTATATTCTTGTGGACACTACCTAGCAATTAGTTTGACTTTTGGAAAAGTTTGGAGGGAAATGCAGAAAACCCCACACACTTTAGATAAATAATCTAGATTACATGAAAACAAAAGCAGACCTCTGAAACTATCTTGCAGTCAACTGCCACTCAGATTACAAGAACAGTTACATTTGTTGGAAAGGCTCTTCCTAGTGCAATTGTGCCCCCTAAGCCACTCTGCTAGCATCATTCTTCGAAAAGATTAATTGCTCTGTCAGTAATTTATTTGTACTTGCCTTGACTACATACAGTTTAGGTAGCTTTTTACAATGAATGTCTTTGTCAAAGAAACTGACTGACAGAGCAACTTCATGCAGACCGGCTTTCTTCCCTCCTCCTCCTCTCCCTCACCACAA